TTAATATGAAGATTAACTAACTAAAATTCATAAATAAATGAATATATAAATTAATACAAATCAGTGATGAATAAACATATAGCTTATTGATCAATAAATGAACAAATATATCTGCACGGCATCTCGCTTAGCCGATACCACCACCACGGAAACACTGGCAGTGCCCTATGACTGGACCACAAACATGGATGATTATACTGCCACTCCCAATAGGACGTCATTACCAACATCCCTCACGTTTGTGGTCAACCACCCCCACCACACCATAGTGCAATCACGACAGTGGTGCCGCCAAAACCAACCTGATGCCATACAGAACTTTGAAGTCTAAGAAAATAAGTTTTGGAAAAATAAAGCAGGTTAAAAAATGAATAAATAAACAACTTAGCAAACAAAATCATATGTGTCAAGTTTTCTGTCAACAATAATTGTTAAATCATTTTTTCGAACGACCTGCGTGAGATAATTGACCTAATTTGTAGCCGGGATATTATTCCATATTTTTGCACCTGAAACATCGAAAACTGGCCAAAAGTTGTACGGGTATATTCAACAATAAGATTTTGATTGTGGAGTTGTCTGGTTTGATATGGATGATGGATAGGTTTGAAATAGTCATTGATATTATGGGCAGAATTATGGTGGATTAAATCATGGATGAAAGTACAGGTGACTAATTTGTGCATTTTATAGATATCAAGGATGTTTAACTTTTTGAATAAAGGAACCGAGTGTTCAGTGAACGAACTAAACGTCATTGCACGAACTAACATTTTCTTGGTCATATAAATGGCATTTACGTGTGAGTGATATGTATTACCCCAAACCTCCATACCATAAGTAATATTCGGCTGTATAATGGAGTTGTAAAGAAATATTAAACGTTTAAGGGGTATGACGTTTCTAAGTTTAAATAATAGGCCACACTTTTTTCTAACTATACTGTTGATGTGATCGATGTGACTGGACCAAGTAAGATGTTTATAAACAAATGAAACTATCCTGACTTCCTGAACACATTCTCTTCTGATGCTAATTGAGCCCGCCACATTAGGTTAAGTTTTGCTTGTAACTAAAAACGATATAATTCATTTTCTTTTTATTTATGGGAAGTTTGTTGGCATATCACCATAGCAGGACATAATTTAAATTGACGGTTGCATCATGTAAATTGAGTATGCATTTTTTTTTTCATAAGTATGAAATAAGTTGGAGTCGTCAGCAAAAAGGTAGTCGAATTGGGAAGATCGTTTATATAGAGTACAAATAGTGTTGGGCCTAGAACAGAACCTTGGGGTACTCCGTAATTAATGCTTGTTTTAGATGATGATAACCTATTGCAATATACATATTGGAACCTGTTATGAAGATAGCCTTTGACCCATTGAATTGAGAGCCCCTACTACCCGCAATCTTCTAACTTTGATAATAAAATTTTGTGATTGATCGTATCAAAGGCCTTGCTGAAATCTGTAAAGTTATCCCAGCCACAAGACTTCTTTGAGTCCAAGTTATTTAAAAGGTGCATTACCTTACTCACAGTAGTTGGGTGGAGAAAAAATGTATTTACATTTGATCGACCAAGACAGTTTAAAAAGTTGTTAGAGGCCGATATTGGTGAAACCCAGCATGTAAAATTCCAAACAAATGATATGTTAAAACCACAAAAGACGGCGCGTATCGCGTGGACGGGTTTCATGTTCTCTGCACGTAATAAGCTCGGTTATTAAGCATCCTTTTTTGCGGATGCCCGGTGGCCGAGGGGAAGACGTGTAGTGGCGTGAAGCTAGGCGATTAGGTGCCGTACGCGAGCGCCGGTTCGAGTCACGCACGCAGTACGTATTTACTGTATTAGACATAGTCTTTACCTTGCCGTTTATTCGGTGTTATTTGCTTACTTTACTTCCTATGTCGACAGCAACTATGAGTTTAAAATTATTTCTCAGTACTTATTCACTGTTACAATGCTGTACCATTACTTTCACCATTCTACTACAGCCAGATCTGAAGGCCTTTGCCGCATTCTGGCCATGCTGTGTGGCGCGTATCGCGTGGACGGGTTTCATGTTCTCTGCACGTAATAAGCTCGGTTATTAAGCATCCTTTTTTGGGGATGCCCGGTGGCCGAGGGGAAGACGTGTAGTGGCGTGAAGCTAGGCGATTAGGTGCCGTACGCGAGCGCCGGTTCTAGTCACGCACGCAGTACGTATTTACTGTATTAGACATAGTCTTTACCTTGCCGTTTATTCGGTGTTATTTGCTTACTGTTAAAACCACAGTCGCTCAATAGGTGATTTTCCGAACAATTGCGAGATCTCGCGAGATGCATGAAAGACGCGCGTCGAACGTCTGCCGCAAAAATCGAACGATTTGATTTTGAACTAGAATTTCTTTATTTCGCAGCTTACATTGACCGGCAGATCTTCGACAGAGGAATATTGCTTCCGAATACCCTTACTTAATCGAAATTGCCTATCATTAAATGTGGACAGCACATTATTAAGCATGGAAATGTCCCCGAAATACTTTCGCGTTTGTCGAATCCCACGCGATGTTTGACGCGACTACGACGCTATGACCTTTGTTTGTCCTGTTTCTACGTTCGATTTCACGCATAACGCGTGATTCTCGCAGTGTACGGAAAATGGTCTATTGAGGGACTGTGGTTGAAACACATCATATAGAATTCTATACAAAAAGTATGGTCAAACCTGGCCACAGAATTCCATACAAATGATATGAGGTTCTTCGGGTTGAACATTTCGTAGTATCCATTCTTTTCCGAGCACGAGTCTTAAACAGTAGCAACAGCGACGCTCGTTCTTCTTTGACGGTATTTTCAAAATTGGCGCCGATGTACTTCTCCGTGCACGCAAAACGCCTTTGAAGCGGTGGCAGTATCTGCCAACGTTTTCTGAGAATGAAGTTTCTCGCATTTCATTCATGTCTCCAACGTTGTGGGACCAAAGCAGGCATAGAATTTCCCTTGGCAAGAATTGAAAAATTGAATACTAAATCAAAATTACCGGGAGATCCATCCGCAGAAGGAAACTAAGTTAGTTGAAGAGTTTCCAGACTACACCAGCATAATGTAAACAAACCAACGTGCATACCAGTAAAGAAACTTGAACTGCCATAACCATTAATTCTATATAATCCTAACTGCTGTTATTAAACAGTTTTAGTGACTCCCAGGTGATCACATTCAGGCCAATCAGCATGACGACACACAATCAGAATACTGATTATGTTTCTGGCCTTTGATGGTTCAATTTGCAACCACTTAGTGCAATGTACACGTGAAACACATCTCTATCAATATTGTACTTTGATGCTAATGGATAAATTCGATTATGATTTGTCATAATTATACAATTGTTTCTGCAACACATTGTTAATCGTTCGATGAAATTGAACAAGGATGTATGCTACAAGTAACAACATACAGTATCAAGCAATAGTATTTGCTCTTGTCAACACTGCATGTATGTGTTCATGGGGATTAGAACATGGCTCTGAATGTGGTCAATTTCTGGGGGTATTCTAATTCAGAGCATAGTTTTTCAAAAAAAAACCTCTAAACACATACTTATTTTTTGGGAAATTATAACACTTTTTAAGTGCAGAAACAAAAAACAGATACCCTATACACATACTAAAATAATACAGTTTCCAAGTTGAGATAACATGAAATAATGAGATTCCTTTTTTCACACTTTATTACTATATTCTAAGTTACATCCGGTACACGCGTATACGTGTCAAATAATTATATAACACCCCGTTTACGGTTCACGCATTTTTTTTTACTTCAGCTTGCGTACCATATTTTATTTAGGAAATCACCCTGAGGATCCAATATTACAAAGTTGAAACCCACCAAATCATTACTACAATCTAAAGAAACGTTACATGGTTACTGATAATATGCGATCTACGGGAAACATACATCAGATACTGTACTAGAAATAACGAACACGAAACAACGAACAAATTACACTGCATTCGTTTAATTTCCATATTCAAGGTTAAATTAGTTTACAAACTACAATTTTGTGTTTTATTAGATCGAGAATCGAGTCGCCTCACGGATGAACTATGCCCTCAGTGGCAGCTATTTTAATTGCACATGTCGTGAGGTCGTATTGTATACGTGTTAGTGTTAAGCGTGTTATTGCTATGGTTACACCGCCACGGTTATGTTAATAATATTGCTGTCATTGCTATGGTCACACCTCTCCATGTGTCAGCATATGGTTAATAGTATGGCTGCCATTCGTCTTGTTTCTCCTTAGAGTGATGACAGTAACATGGGCCCCAACAACAAAGTCGACATTTCTGTGAAACACAAAAAATAGTAAAATAACAGATTTATGAATACAGTAATCTAAAAAATTATCCATATATGCAGACGGCACCGGTGCAGTATAATATGTATTTCATAAAAGCATATATATGTACATGTACAAATATACATGTACATAAATGCCCATAACATTCAAATGATGGTGAAAATCGCTAGACCAATCAACACGCGTTTAAGATGCGTGGCCGCAATGGGCAATGACTTCAACAAATGACTTTATAGCCACTGAAAGTGTTCTCTTGGGGTTTGAGTGAAATGCGACGATATTCTGGGTAAATGTTTTATAAATACATATAAAACAAAATCATGCCTTCATGAAACAGTTATAGTAAAAATGTTATAAGAGATGGATCTCGGAGAATATACAAATAAAAAATTATCATTTACGTGACAATGTCCTTCAAGTCTGCCTTGACACTTCTTGCATACCCTACAGTGGTTACGAGGTCTGCCTGCTGCAAGCTCCATAAGATCCTTATCACACCATGAATACACAAGTGGTTCGATACAGCCATCTACGGGACATCGTAGTTTACCAGGTATTATTTTATATACCTGGATTTGTTCCTCGCAGCAAAACAATTCAATTTCGCTTTCTAAGCGACGGCGAAGCTCTTCGTCCGTCATCTGAAAGGGTGACACAAGTTAACATGTACTTTTCTTGCAGATATAATTGTGGGAAACCATCAGAGGGCTAAATTTGTTTTGTGAACACATGGACGTGCTTACTACTTAGTACGTTCATAATGAAAATTACTGGTAAGTAAGTGACATAACACTCGAAGATAAAACGAAATAAATATGATTGGATTCTCTGTGAAATGAAGTGTTTGAATTTGAATGAAATAATACATCGGTTATGGCTGTTATGTTATTATTATTATTCATCTAAAATGGATTTAAATTTAATAACCATCGTACCAATGATTTATTTTATATTTACGTCCTGTCGCAAGGTGTACATGTTTACTGGATACTGATCTTATATCGTCACATGTCATAATTTGACAGTGGGCAGAATGCGCATACACGCTATTCTATAATTCACGACGATGGATCTGCTTTAAAAACGAAATGTATAAAATATTATTTGTGGGTCACGGCGCCGAGAGACTGTGGAATATATAAGTATGATCATGGAGGTATAATATTATTACCTCCATGGTATGATGAAGTTAGGAAACCGTTTTCAATACATACTAATGACATTCCACGGCTAAATTGCGCAAAACATAAGTCACTCCAAGGGGCTTTAACGACCAGTTTTTAAACAACTTACCTTAGTAATGTTCTGCATAAGACATATGTCTTCTTTACATTTCTCGACATCAACACCATACTCAGCGATGATCTCTAATTTATTCATAGGATTAGAGCAATTACAATCGCATTTACAATTATCCCCGCACACCAGACCATTTTTACGGCATCTACAGCGATTTGAGTCACATGACAACTTGCATCCGCATGCCCTTGGTGCGCTTGATCTGGCCAGTGATGGCTTGCTGGCAGTTGACCCACCGAGAATAGTGCCAGCATCGGCTGATGTGTCAGGACTTGAACCTGATGAGGTGTCTAATCCGTCGCTGGTTGACGGCGGACTTGCTGAAGACGTCGTGTGCCCAACTTTCTTTCTCTTTTTTGGCACAGCAGACGCATAATCTATAAAACACACAAACAATGATGATTCGTATGCTACTATGGATACACAATGTATACCATATGTTTGAAAATACATACTAGTATGAATATGCGTGGAATATATGGAATATTGGGGGCGTGGACGACTGGTGTTCGCCTGGATTCTTCATTGTTTCGAATCACTTCCGGTAGCAGGTATTCGGATCACAGGCGATTCCATACTCGTCGACACAAGTAAAAAATAGGAATCTGAAACGATTAATACATATTTTTCATACTTCGCTCAAATTCACATTATAAATTATTTCA